AACCGAAGTGGCAACGTTATGAAATCCAAATCCATATATTAAAGCGGGGGAGTCATCACCTGTACATGCGTCAGATGGTCATGACGTTCAATGTTTACAAACAAGCGTCTATCCATGAGCCTTTGCGTTTTTAGCGTGTGTTGTTATCATTGTAGCTTTAAAGGACGTTAGTCGTCGCACCATAGCGACGTATACAACGCGTGTAAAATACATTGATTATTTACATGAAATTCGAACACGCGCTGCGCGACGACCACCCGGCCGCCCTTAAAGTTTAACTGCCAGTTTGCATAAGGCAACGCGATAAGCAACGCACCATGCTTCACGTGTTTGTATGAACATGTAATGGTGTCGCAAAGATATAGATAAGCCGGGCAACGTCGTCCGAAAAAAAAAACAGTCATAACTAGTTGCACTTCGCCACAGTTTCTTGCCCCCTGTACCCACAACAAATAAATTAAAGGTATATTGCTGTATAGCATTCTTCAACTAATATCGGTTTAAGAAAAATAAATTTGTCTATAAGACTTCGCGACACCACTTTCGCTTTCAAAGTTAGTGTGTCTTCGCTAATTTTGAAAAAAAATAACAACTGAGTTTTTATAAAACTCGTCATTGACACATAAACAAGTGACCTATTGTTTTGTTTATTTTTGTAGGAAGCGTAACTGCAATGGCATTTAGAACGGTACCGCTGCATGGGGGCAACACGAGTAACCCAGCAATCAGCTCTACGTGTGCCCTGTGCCGGCCACGTTATTCCCTCGATGGTGGTAGTTGCTATGATCCCGTGAAGGAAATTTGTTGTGACGGTAAAATATATAACATTGAAAGAACTCCGTCACTTCGTTGTTGTAAGTATAGGCATCGGATAGTTGTTTAAGAATCAACGGATGTAATTTTGACGGAAACATATCGGTTTGGTATTGTTGTGAACAAATTGGATTACAATTTATCGTGACATAACCTCTTTTTTTTTTGTAGCACACATAATGGTATATGTTCGATCCAAAATAAAAACAACTAATAAGCATGTAGTGCCAATACAATAACTGACATATTTATTTCATTGTTTCAGTGAAATTAAATCGGGGAGTCGTCACCTGCGCATGCGTCAGATATCCATAGCTTTCACCAATTGTGTAGATTTCAAGTATTCCATACAATATGTATATATTGATATTCAGGGATACTTGTTTATTTATACGGCTATAAGTAGATGACTTGGTCTAGGTCTTGGTCTCCCAGGCATAATTTGTTTAATAAAAAATAATATTTTTTGCGTAAAAAATATGTACATATATTTCAGAATACGCATGGAGTTTTCAAACTTATAAGCTATTGGGAATTAATATTAATACATTTGCAAGGTAATTGTGTCTTTGACGTATATACTCATTAAATAATGATATTAATAATGTAGATGGCACGTGTCACCGATGACAATATTTACTCGTTACTTGCAGCAAATAACCCTATAAACGTTAGGTAATCAACACAAATGAAGTTGTACTAAAGTCCAAAAGATACGTTCAAGGTCTGCATTTTTTCATAGCATAAAAACGATTTACTCTCTTGCTTATTGTGACACTCTCCAATCAACTGATTTCCATTCCCCTGAAGAGTCAAAATAGTATGTGCCTTCATTTTACGCCACGACTCGAATTTGTTTTTTTGCTTGACGTGTTCATTTGCTTTCAATTGCGTTTCAGTGGCTGTCACAGTCGTATTCTGAGTCTTGCCCATAACATTTTGTTTCAAATTCACGTAGATATCGAGGGGAAAACTCAAATTTTCAACTAAAGCTAATTTGCATAACAATGTTTCAGCCCTTGGTCGCCATATTGGACACGCATACAATTAGTTATTTAAGTATATGACCTTGGTAGTACTTATTAAGCTTAAGTGTACACATTCAAAGTCATTATATGCAATGACAGGCAGAGTCCAGTGAACTGTCATGAATTAGTTTACGCGTATCTGTTGACCGACTTAATTAGCTGATTATTAGCGAATTGCTGTGTTATGTCTGTCATCGTTTAGGCCTATTTGAAGTTTTGGACGGAACGTGGCTCAGTGATTTGGAACTAATTACGAGATAACCGTCGCTATTCTGACTACGATTTCTGACAGTTGGTATCCGTAGTTATTAATGTAGTGAACGATTAATCAAAAGATATGACGTATTCAGTACTTAGTGTGATTGGCTTTATGATTGAAGGTTACGCCCTAGAGTCTTTTTACTGTTTTGTAATTGGTTAGAGTTTTGAAAATGAATAAAGAGAGTTTTGAGTTGGTCTTAGCATGGAACTATAAACCCTAACTATAGTTCCATGGTCTTAGCGAGTACTCCACGATAGACGCAGTCTAAGTCCAGTCCTGGAGAGACTTGGGGTGAGCCTTGACGCAGTCTAAAAGAGTCTTGGGTCAGCCTTGCGATAGTCTTGGGCACTTTTCCCCAGGGCGCTGTGTCTTATAGAGTGCTCAAAAGACCGACTAAGACGAAAGTTGAAACGTATTTCGTTGTGCGTGTCTTATTTGACTGTAAAGTATAAGTGACTTTCCCGAACCCGTACCTCAAGGGGACGTGACATAGAGCCGAGACGAGATTCACCCCTGGCAAGTGTGGAGAACCCCAGAGGCCGAAGATTTCCCCCTGATAGAACTAACATTCTGTAACAGCACTGTAACGTTTTTTTGGGAAAGTTCAAGATTATTGAAGGAACCCGTTTTTGACTGAGCTGCTTTCATGTATTGATGCCTGATTGACACCTGCAACACATATTCATTCTATTTTTTTTCCAAATTTCATATTTTGAATTTTGTTCCATTTTGAAGTTAGTCATTTGTGAGCTAAATGGTTTGCTATTAGCATTCAACAAATTTCAAAATAACTTTTCATCAGTGTTGTGGAGTAAAGCTTTGATGTCAATAATAACAATGGATAAACAACAACACTTCAGTTTAGATATGGCTATACATGGACACAGTTTTTTATTAACGGGACAAGCTGGAACTGGCAAGACTAAAACTCAGATTGAACTAATCAGGAATTTGAGGAAAACCAAAAGAGTTCAAGTTACAGCTAGCACAGGCATGGCTGCAAGGCAGTCGAGCGCCTGTGGTTTGGATCGGATGATTTCTTTTGTTTCCATTTCGTTGTACGCCTAGAAACATGGCAACGTTGTTTTTGGTGAATATATAACATGTTCTGTTCCAATAAAGGATTTTGACATGCATAACAATTCCTTAATGACACATTTCCTGTACTCTATAAAATTTAACAATGCCACTAGCCCACGATGGACTTCCTGTTCAACAAGTTGTTGACTGTTCGCGTCACTGTACGTAAAAACACACTCTCGAACTTGACAATTTTAAAAATCAGTTTTTGCCTGTTGCAATGGCAGTGATGGGCCAGGATTTTTCGTCAATTAATGACGGTACGATCTACCTGTGAGTATGAACAAAATCAGCCAGCCAAAAAAATCACAGAGAAGTTAAAATCCGTTGCTGGTGAAAAGTTACCCCAACTTTGGGGTCAAATTTCTCGGTAATGAAAAAGATATCAAAAATTCAAACAGTAACTTAGTGCCCACATTCAAGCTGAGTAGAATGAGCTACGGTTGGCCAATTTTTTTTCCATATTTTTCCTTATAACTAGGGTGAATGTGTGACCTACCTACCAAGTTTGAGCAAAATTGGCCATACCAAAAAAAATCACAGAAGAAATAATACGTAAAAACACTGGAAATCACACACACAAAACGACGAGTGATTATAAGGGCAATCCTATGGAGCGGATCGCCAATAATTAATATTTCATTTTTGTTAGTGTATCTTTAATTTTATTTATTAAAATATGTACACATTATATCTAATTGGGGTGGAAATTGCCAAGCCAATTTATAAAATTATAAACAAATATTTTCGTAAATAATATTGACCGCGAAATACGCCCTTGAGAAGTGTTACTGACGCAATATTTCATATTGCAATTTCTTTCAATTTAATTAGTTGTATTGCAATGCATTATTAATAATGTAAATATATATATATTTCTTTATTTCATTGATGAGACTGAGTTATATATTAGTTGCGTACTATAATTTATCTATATTGGAAAACGGTTATGGGGATTATTAATTTTAATAAACAATATTCAACTATCCTTTGCAATAATATCATAATGATAATGTTTCTTGGTTTTTGAAACTATGGGCATTATCAGAGCATGGATCTTATTTTGGAACTCCTGCCAGCCTGAGAGCAACATCACAAATCAAAATGGCAAATTAATAGCTTCTAAGGTTGGTATTCCTAGAATAGTGCCAGTTGTAACTTTAATTCTCAACAGCGAAGAAAAGACCAGTTACTGCGACAAAGCCCTACTCCCCGCGCGATTCCCCAAATACGAAACCCACTTACCGCGAAAGCCACTTACCGTGAAGCTACTAGTTAGTAATAAAAATATGTTTTGCAATCACAAATCTTAGTTCTGTCTTCTGAAACCTTCTTTTGATATACGACGATTAAATTTATTAGTATTTAAATTTCAATTCAATTTCTGATTGAGATCGATTTTATTACACCTATTATCGAAAAACTGGCTGCGATCTTTGTTCATTTTGTTTTTCGCATTCTTTTAATCCATGTAATACTTGACTTTTGTACTAGCCAATATACGAGAAGTTGAATGTTAGCTGGTAAAATAATCACAATATTCACCATGTTATACTTAATACCTCAAAAATTCAGCATTACATTCATTAACAATATCTTGCAAACAAAGCTTTAGTCACAACGCTTTAGCAAAACTAGCCTGTATCTTTTTTTTCGCGTCACTCAACTTTATTTGTTCAACAATTTACGCAATACAATTTTTCCCGTAATTTGCGCAGGTGGGGATACACCATACATGCCGGACACCCATTCCTGCTGCGGACCTCTCACAACTGATCAGTATCGTATCATCACAAGTTCATCGGAAATATGTTGTAGCGACTCCGAGGGCGTGGCATGGGTGCATTCTGTTATCGGGAAAGGACGTGTGATGTGCTGCGGAGGGAAGGCATTCGACTCTGACAAGAAGATATGCTGTAAAGGGGTAAGCATGTCATCATTCGAGTCAGTGCAGAGCTCCTTACAAGATTACACAATCCTGACACCATTCTCCATCCCAGAGTTCATAGCGCAAGCAGGCTAACACCTCTGCCACACGCGCCTTTTTACGCCATGATTTGCCACATATCAATACGCAGGTGTTGTTCGGTTATTCAAGACGGCGGCCCATACCCAGTTGGCAAGGAAAGTATTACATCTTTCTCTTCCATACACTTTCCATAACTTGGTTTTAATTCCACATCAGAATTGTATTCATTCAGAATACGTTTTAAAGTTGCCGCGAACTCCGCCATATTTAAATATAGTTCGGGTTTGACCCTATCAATGACCTATCAATTTGCATAAATGCATAATCAAGCTGTGGCAGAGGTGATTTGAAGAAGGGACATCTTACGTGGAGACACTCGTCCGAACACATATCAGTTAAACGAATCAGTTTGTTTGTTTGTTGAAAGTTTATTTTCGACGTATCAAATTATGCCTTGTATATATGATATTGATGGATATGGCACACAAATCACTCGCTTTAATAATAAATTAATGAAGTTGACCTGAAAAAGTATGACTAAACTAGTACTACAGGTGTTGGGAGACTGTGCTAGTACATATCAATGCCTTTAGAAAAAATTACTCATAGTCTATATGCCGATACAAACACATAATCATAATTCGTTCCGTTGACAGCATTTGCACATGAACACTTCTTCGTCAAGATGCTGTGGACACAGGACGTACTCCAGCGAGACTCACATGTGCTGTAATAAAAAAATCATCCGTATACGAAATGGGCGTGCCCACTGTTGTGCTAGTACAGTCTACAATCCGCCCCGCGAAGCCTGCTGCAATGGACAAGTTGTTATAGGGCATAGTAAGCATTTGACTATTGTTAAATTTTGTTGAAAAATGAAATGTTATAAAGACTTATATTGTTAGAAAATGTTTTATGTTGTTGTATTATGTAATAATTGTACTTTTTTTGCAGATAAGGAAAACGTATCCAACGACGAAACATGCCAAGATTTAAGCCAACGTACAGTTGCATCACTTCCGGAACGTCTAGATTTGCCATGTGGTAACGACACCTATGATCCGTTGCATGAGCTCTGTTGTGACGGTGTCCCACACTACATGGATGCTGGCGATACGGAACGTGTATCGTGTTGCGGAAGACAAACATTCAGACCAGAAACTGACCTGTGCTGCAATGGAGTCGTTTTCCTGGGATCAGATGAGCTGGATATTACAAATAGAAGATGCTGTGGAATACAAACTATACTCGTCTACAATTCCAAATTACAAATGTGTTGCGACGAACAGATATATAATAAACATTCGTCTGGTAAGTTTGATTTTTTTTGAAATGTTAAATCTGGTGCAGAAAATATGATGACATCATTTTTACTATTTGTAATGTATGTGATGACGTTATATCGCTTGTTATATCTTATATTATTCAATGACGAATATTATACCGTTTTTTGTCATTTTTGTTGGCAAAATCACAATTCTCCACACCTTGACTCGTTCTCGAGTTGAGCTCATAGTACCGACCGTACGTTCTAATCGTAGAGCGCTGATCTAATGTCATTTAGGCAGATAAACACATTAATTATTCAACACAATTTTCATTTTTACGTTTTGGTGTTTATTTTTTTTAATATTATATACACAAATCTATACATACTCTAAATTATGTATGAATATGCAATGAATGATCAGCAATCGTGTATCCTCATCACATCACCAAATCACTGACTTGTTTAAAAAATATTAAATCAGACAATTAATAAAATTAAAAGAAACCTGTAATTGAGCGAGTTTTCACACTGCACAATAACATACGATATATATTCTACAGGATGCGACGGTTTGACGAAAGATATATTCGTATCCATTGGTGGTCTCGACTATAACGGTTGCGGAACCAGTATGGACAATTCTTGCCGAACCATAGCGTATGCATGGCTATTGTTGAAGTACGGCGACACATTGAAGATTGACGGCAGAAACAGTGAAAATAACCCGTACAAAGTTTGCGCATCCTTTGATGGATTCGGGCTGACATGTAACAAATCAATTACAATTCAAGGCACGAATTCACCGGCGTATATTAGTGGGGGAAATCGCTGTAATGTGTTTTCGTTCTACGGAATACCAAGCACTAAACCAATTTCAGTAACACTGTCTGGTTTGACGTTCGTCAATATTTCAGCGCTGACATATGACAATGGTGCGATTTCTGCGATTGGTGTTAATTTACACGTATTTGACTGCGTGTTTTCGAATACCCAAGATGGCTATGCAGTGTGGTACGAGCCAGGGAGCGTGATACTAAATGCAAATATGTGCCTGAAAATCAATATTAGCCGATTTCTGAATAATTTCGGCGGTTTAAGGATAGTGTTACCCAAGTCAAACAGTTCAAATAATAGTACTGTTTCAGTGATGGTATCAAATACTTTTTTCCAAGACAATACACGTTATGGCAGTTTAGTATTGACAAATATCGGCTCAGTGAACTTGACAGTTGAAGCCACCAAAGTACAAATTTCACGAAGCGCCAATGAGCTTGGCGGCGCCCTCCATCTTGGACCTTTGCAGACTGACGGGCCAATGCCAACACAAACACCGTCCCTGCAGGATAATATGTTTCAAGAAATGGATTCCAATGACGACGGATACGTTTCAGTAATTAAAGAAACACACAACATGGAAATTGATTATAATATCCGTTCTTACATATTTTTTAATGACTGTATTTTTAATCACAATAACGCAAGGGAAATGGGAGGCGCTATTTATGCTGATACACCAGACTTTTCAGAGTTGATATTTTCAAACATGTCAATACTCCACAATTCTGTATCTAATACATTTAAAACCGGGAAGGGCGGTGGTATTTACCTTAATGGAGGCCATGTCACATTCCTTAACGTAACGATGGTTGATAACAACGCCACGTTTCTCGGTGGCTCTGTCTACAACGATATTGACACTAAAATACTAGAGATTATTGACAGTTCTTTTGAAACCAGAGTACAGGGTGATCAATCTTCATCACAGAACGGGGAGTTGCTTTTTTCCATATCCAACATAATAGACATATCAAACTCCAGTTTTATAGTGACATCAGCATCTCTGACAAACATTACAGCTGTGTTCATCAGTGCTAAACTAAACTATACCATCGACAGTGAGACACTCATTAGATGTGACTCTGGCTATAACATAGCTATAGACAGCGTTTGCAAGAATGGCGGAACCATTTCATCTTTTAATTGCATACCTTGTTCAAAATCAACCTACAGCTTCGATCACGGCTACAGTTCGGGATGGGAAGTGTACCCCATAGACTGTTTACCATGCCCGAAAGGAGGAGATTGTGAACATGCACATGTCCACGCCAGACCAGGCCAGTGGGGTTACCAAGACAATACATCGCTGATAAGCAAAGCAATATTCCAGCCATGTCCTTCTGGATATTGCTGTGATAACCACGACCAGCACGAATGTCCATCCTTCAACTCGTGTCCAAGAAATCGCACGGGAATTCTATGCAGAAGATGCAAAGATGAGTACTACAATGTTCTTGGTTCGACTGCGTGCGTTCACATTTCAGATTGCTCAAAGGAACAGGCTATCTGGCAGATAATCCTTCTTATTCTAGGAGTTCTATTGTTTTACTTGTTCCTACTATTCAAATCGGAACTGACAGAGTTCATATATCAGACATATATCATGAAAATAAAAAGTGAAAAGAAAAATGATTCAGACGATGACGGCGGTGACATATCTCCAAGCCATTCTAGTGAACCAAGTATTAAAAACGATGAATACAAAAGACCGTGGCTACGGGAACATGGCCTGCCATGGCAGTCATCTGATGACTATGTTAAGATTGTGTTCTTGTTTTACCAAGTAGTGGATCTTCTAATTGTGGAGGACACCTCCTTTCCGCGATCACATATTTCAAGCGTCCAAATCTTTGTCGTTAAGCTGTTCAATTTTCAAATGGTTCCTCCATTCCTAACTACATGTGTAGACAATAACAGCAAGGTATTTCTCAATTCGTGGCAATATGAATTACTGTTATTTTTGTGGGTTATCGTTGGTTCCAAATACGTATTTGGCTCTGTCGTATGCAGAGAATGTTCAATCCGATGTACGAAATGTCCGAGGAAAGTCTCAAGATTTAATAGTCGTATTACAAAGGCATATATGCAGATACTTATCTTGGGTTATGTGGTATTGTTGAAACGCTTGCTCAAGCGAATTCACACCACAGAGATAAATAATAAACCTGAAACAACGTATGACCCGACTGTCGAATCCTGGGAATGGGTGTGGTATACTTCTGTTGTTTATGTGTTCACTGCATTATTCCCCTTTTGTGTTGTTGTTTCTTTGGGTGCATATCTACTCGAGAAGAAATACATCGGCGTTTCCCAGTACCTTCTTGCATGTATCTTTCCTTTACCATTCATTCCTGTTTGGTTGTACTGCTATTATTGCGCACATGGTAAGACATCAAAGGATTACATTAAAATGGACGATAATGGTCACAGTTACCCTATTTTGGAGGTTTTACAGTCACCTTTTAAAGTCGGATCACGATACTGGGAAAGTGTATTCCTATTCACTAAGCTGGTGTTAGTCTGGTGCAATGTTTATATTTTGAATGCGTTCCTGCAATCGCTGGTGATGGTCAGTATCTGTGCAATTTTGGTCTGTGTCCACGCTGTTTTGCAGCCATTTTATAGTAAACGAACTAATCATATGCAAATATTGTCATTGGTTTTGCTTGTTCTGATTGCTGGTATTAGTTGTCTGGAAAGAGTGCAACGTTTGTTTTTTATTCGATTTGCCGAGCCGCATGGCACCATAGATACTGCATTAGAAATTACACAGTTTATATTGATTTTATTTCCCATCGGTTTGGTGGTCTTATCTGTGGTATTATTTCTGTTTCTGCGTTGTCTAAACTGTGTACAGTGCACGAAAAGTGATGATGTGCCACACCCTGTGTCTCTAAATAGCGTATTGGAACACAGTACACGCCAGTCATCTAAACACCAGAGTACTCAAAATGACATATCGCAAATTGCCCCAACGGATACAATAGAAAAACTGAATGCAGAACGTTCAAATCCCATTACCTCCTTGAAACACCGTACTAATATGAAGTCTCCAGCAATGGCTATTGATAGTGGAATAGGTTCTGGCTTTGTGCCGTCTCGAAATAAAAGTACCATGCCCTTTGAAACAGTTTTTGAAGATTGTGCTAATAACAAAAGTGGCAGTTCGGTACCTTATGATGATATTTTATTGGATCGAGGGGAATCTGGAATAATGGCACTTCCACTTGAATCTGGTGCTCAAAAACAAACAGTTGTGGACATACATTTGCCACTGCCTAAGAATGATAGGGCCGAGAGTCCCTTGTCTCTGCAGTGCCCATCGGAAGTGTACAACTGGAAGGAGGATCATGCGTATGACTTATCATGTATAGCACAATTTAACAACATTGTTAATCAACTTCCAGACAGGTCGGTATTGTCATCTACCAACTTCACCACAAACACATTCGCAGCGGGGCAGTTCAACTATGAAGGAGGTCATCTAAGTATCGAACTGTCTGGAATCAACTTGTTCATCCCGCCCGGAGCTTTATCAGAGGACGACGAACCTCAAAATATTCACATTTCTGTGTCACTAGTTGATCGTGAATACCACCGGCTAGGAGCCAATGAAACAGCATTGTCCCCTGTTATCAGAATTGGCCCACATGGTCGGAAGTTCCGAAAAAATATTCTTCTATCAGTGAAGCACAATTTGGGTGCGGGTGTCACACCTGGTAAACTTAAACTATGGGCGAGTGATACCGATATGAAGCACTCAACACACTGGTACAATGTAAGTGAGAAAGGACGCGTATTTTGCATTTCACAGGGTGAAGATTCCATTTCATTCATTGATACTCTTAGCATGTACACTGTTATCTGTGACGTCAACCAAATGAAATTTAGAATTGGAGCATTTATCACTCGTTTGAACATTGCATCTTCAAAACTGAGAGTCAGAGTATGGAGAGACACTGCTGCCGATCTGGAGGTAAATATATAATGCTGTAGAAACGTAATGGCAATCGGGTCAGACCCTGATCAACTATACATGTTCAATGATATAATGCATTCATAATATGGCACAACGCTCGGAAATACAAATGGCAAACCATTGTGGTATTTCCAAACTAAAAGAAGGGGTCACATTTAGAACCTAATAACATGTAGAACCTACTAACCTCCAAAAACATTTGTCAAAATACCACAAAGTAGACTATCTATTACGATATATTCTATGTTAACCTTTTATCACCATGTAGAATTGTCTTCACCATGAGAACTATTCAGAAAACGATTCCGACCATGGCGCCCAATTTATTTCAGACAAAAAAATGTAAAAATGAATGCACTCTAATGCATATATATATAAGTCGGGTAATTAACTATTTAAGATGATTTATTTGTTTTCCAGCTCGTAAATGTCAAAGAGTTAGCACTGCGTGGAAAGAAAATTGGCAATGACAGTGGATTTGTTCTCAGTAAAAATGGGAAAGGGCTAAATATAAAAATGGAGAAGCTATGTGATGGACATAGAACGTTGGATGGCACAGGAAAGGTACGTTTACCTTGTCAGTAAAATTCTACCGTCGATTAACTAATTACGTGCATTGACTATGCTATCTCTAACTTTCCTTTTGCAGGTGATACCGAATGTGGCGATATGGCAGCAGTGCAATGGAATTGGACCCTGTCCATCAGCTACTTTCCTCATAGTTGACTCAACTTACAAAGATCAACCCGAGGCCACATGTAGTGTTCAGACATTAAACTTAAGTTGTCATCTAAAAGTTTATGATGACACTGGTGAACATTTAATAACGACTTTGGATATAAAAGAAAATAACGATGATGCATTTGTAACATAATTTTACACCATGAGGAAGAAGGGTTCAACAGCTTCGATTTCTCATGATTGACATGATTACCATTTTCATATGTGCATTTTGTTGTTTGTACGACTTTCTTTCTTTTAGGGGCCTTGTAAGCTAGATTTCAAGATTTCAGGAGAAAGCCAGAATAATTTATTATGCTATTGAATATTCAGTAAATATTTGTTTTTTTATCATTAAGAATGCAAGTTCAACAGTGTAGAATAGAATGTGAAAACGACTTTTACCACTGAGAAATAACAGGAGCTTTGAACACAATATGTTAACTTAAGCATTTATTTGTGTTAATCAGTCTAAATTAGAATAGGGCTGGGCAATTTTTTATATGTTTTTCATAAATTTTCATTTATTTATTTTTATTATTTATTTTCTGAAAGTTCACTAATTAATTTAATAATATACTGTTTATTTGTTCTAATTTTAGTACATATTTAAAATGAAATTTCAAGTATTTTAATTATATCAAGGTATCCATTTTCCGTATTATTTTTGCTCATATATCATGTTCCTGTAGTGCCATACCTGTTCTGTAGTAACCATTACTTATAAACAATGTATAATTCAATATTAATTATTTGACATTAACGATTTGATGTTAGCTCACCTCATGCGGTTTTTATGATCGTTTGTATGTTAATTGAAGCAACATAATTTGCATACATAATTGATATAAAAAAGTGTTCAAATGAAGAAAAACTTAATGTGACGTTATGTCTATTTAACACATTATCTAACTTACTAGTGTGTAGTGCTATTTTACAAACACCCTATATCGGGAATTTGTGTCTAACTCCATAGCAACAACACGACAACGAGTGATACACGTACCGCTCTGGTCAGTGGAACGAGTAGTCTCGGAAATAATTGGATAATAATGAAGTGCTGCCACTGATTTCTATTTGGCATGAGGAAAGTATTTTAGATTGATACACGCAACTTCCCGTGATAACCAGTTTTACAGGATTATTGTACAAAAAGACAAGGAGTTGGGGTGAGATAAACTCGCAGAACAGTGCCATCAAAAAGTAAAATCTTTGAAGTCAAAATTCAAGGAAGTAACACAAATAACCATAGTGGTAGGGTACGAATATATTCAAACACGGATCTAACTGCAGAGGGCGTGCTATGCAGACCTAATATAAAATTACGCTGTCGTTTTTAATTTCGTGTGATCGCAAACGAAATACACCATTGTAGAATCAATGCGAACACTGATGTTCTCACTGGCTCTGCAATGTGTATTTGTAATCAGTCTGAACCAGGTATTACATTGTGTTAGCCAAGTCAAGCAATGTAAGTACATAGATAAGAACAGACGCAGTTAATCTTCAAAAAAATAGTTTGGTTCAAATTGTTCACATCTCATATATGAAAGCAATTGGTTTGATAGTTTTAAAGAAGAAGTCGAAAATATCATTTTGACTAAAAATTACATAAATGTCATCACAGAATAAACAAACCTGATAGAGACTCATCCAAGGTATATAATATATAATACCAAAATAATCAGGTTCGTAGTTTTCAAGACGAAGTTTAAAATAACATGTTTTAACAAAAATGACAGAATTATTAGCTGAAAATAGAGAATTAATGATATTGTCACAAAATGAACAAACCTTACAGAGGTCCATCCAAGGTACCTACATATAACATACCAAAGTAATCGGGCTGGTTTTTCAGAAGAAATTGAAAAATATATAATGATTTTACCAAAAATTACAAAAACATTTGACAATTAATTAGACAATTATTGATAATGTCAGAATATTTTCGAGCAGGATGAAATAATATAAATTGAAAATGCATTTTTGATAAAACTTTATGGTGTTCTTCATCATAAAATAAACCATCATTTTGACAATAAACAAATCAGTATTCGCCCGGACACTAACAAAAACGGTTCTCCACACGTGTCAGGGGGGAAACTCGTCTCGTCTCTCTATCGCGTCCCCTTGA